CCAACCGCATCTTCAAAACCTCCAGTGATGGGGACTCCACCGTCTCTCCGGGGAGGTTGTTCCAGTGAATGATGGTTACCAATTTCCTTCTGATACCGAGATGAAACCTCTCCTCGTCCAACTTGTACCTGGTGACCCTTGTCTTTTCCATGTGGCTCTTTGGCAAGAGGAAGCCTCCATCCTCTTTGTAGCTGCCCTTCAAGTACTGGAATACTGTGATGTGGCCCCTACCGAGCCGTCTCTTCTCCAGGGAGAAGAGACCTAGCTCCTTCAGTCTTTCCTAAGGCCAGGCTCTCCAGCCCTCTGATCATCTTCATGGCTCTCCTTTGGACCCCCTCCAGACTGTTTTATCTAATTATTGGGGTGCGTTTGCTTGTTCGGGTTACCAAAATTCTTGTTAAAAGTTTCATGATTTTTGTTTTTATTACTGTATTTTTTTGATTGTATTAAATCTGATCAGAATAGTCTTTAGCTTTAGAAAGACTTGAAGCAAGCCTGGTCTTTGAACTTGCAATATATAAAAAGCTTTACACTAGTCTGAGAGACCTCTTCCTGTGTTATGTTTTGATGATAGAGTGGAAGGTTTAATCACAAAGTTCTGTAAGTCATCATTTTTTTCTTTATTTACTTCTTCACTGCCTTTTCCAGAGGAGTTTTTACTTTATTTCTGGAGATGTTTTCAGTTTGAAACAAAACCTCATTAGGGGTCTTTGCCGGATAATCCAGTACTTTGACCTTTAGAATCCAAACTGTTTGTTATGGATTGACACAACTGTAAGGAGAATGTTTATTAAATTTTTTCTTTGAAGGGGAAAATGGACTTCTATTTCATAGCCTACCAAAACCTACACTTTTGACCTTAATGGTGTGTTTTTTCTCTTTTACTGACTGTGTTGTTTTGTGGTTTTTAGACTGTACACCGAGGATTTGTGTAAAGTCTGTTTGTAGGTATTACAGCTCTTATAACTGCACTACTTAGCGTTAACTCAGTTCATTCTTACCACAGTGGCCAAACTGCATTTGCCAGCTCTACATTCAAAAGGCCCAGTTGCAGAGCTTGCATTCTTTACCGTTCCAGGCAAATTAAATTTGTTGATCATGCAATAATAAGCTCTGTTCTCTTGAAATCTCTAACCTTTGTTGCTAATACCTCTGAAAGGTTTTTCTCTTTCATGTGTGTTTGATGACTTGTGTAACTTTTAGATATGCTTCCTGAATACTATGTGTTTGAGTTTTTAGCCACCGTTTTAAGTTAACATGGCACAGAATGTTTCTGCGGAAACAATATCACCTGATACTGGCCGCAATTTTCTTCTTTTTAAATGATTTGTTTCGATATCATTCATTCAGCTACGTAGTCATAAGGATTGTCCAGAGGAAAGCTGCAGCGGGCAACTCTGCAATGAAGTACTGGCACACATGAAAACGAAATGCCACAGAATAGAGCCTGACTCCATGTGTCTTTCTTTGGTGTGTTACAGGCAATAGTTGAAGCCTTTTTTTGTAGTTTGAGATACTGTGGTATTATTCTGCAAATTGTGTAATTAGCCGTGCTTTAGTTCACAAAATTAATTGCTTGAATTTTGGAATTAAAATCACATGGACACACACAGACGCAAAGGGGAGGAGATAAAATCGTTTGTGCAGTCGTAGATCTGCTATCCTCTGAAATACTGCAAAACAAATCCTTGAGAGTGTGAGCTGTCATTTGCTATTTCCGGTTCTGGAGCTTTATTGTAAATAAAGATCAGTATAGATATTATTGTGTTACTGAGATGGTAATGAGGTGGCATCTATGCATGCAGCCATAATTAATGACAGAGATCCTTGAATTATAGCACAGTTTCTCCACTTACCCCCATTCCATACCACCCGGAGCAGTATTCCTGTTTGGTTTTCGTACTTACTTCATCTCCTCTGAGCTGCCATTACATTGTTTCTCAAGGCTCAGATTTATTTTTTTTTGTTTGAAAACGAGCTGCTAAGCTGAAAGGAGGTGAAAGAAGGGTCTCTTGCAATAAGTGGAAAGAGAGATTTGAATTTAGGACCAGTGATTGTGCTGCTCTTAGCTTTGTGTTGACATCTAGAAGGCAGTGGGAACTTGTCTGAAATGAAAAATTTTAAGAACAGTTTATGTTTTTTATTTTGTGTGCATGTAGGTGGGTGGGAAGTCTGTGCTAAAAGAGATGCGAGAGGGATAAATGACTGAAGTTTACTGGTACAAGGTTATCTAGCCCGGCAGAAGAAGAGTTGTGGGGCGAAGACACAAATTACATGCCGCGAATGAGCTATAAAACAACAGAGGAAATTCACTATCAGTAAGTGTAAAATAATATGCATGAGAGACCGTGGATGAAGGTGAGGGGCAGCGTTGCAAGCTATGCTGCAGCGTGAAAGATTTCTCTAATTCAGACTATTGTTGTTTAGGAAAGAGAGCTCAGAGTCATTGGGACTGTTAAGAGTAGAACAGCAGGTTTATTTCCGGTTACCACCTAGGAGAGAAGCAGTGTTGGGAATTACTGAGGCAGCAGTAGCAAGGAAAATAGGAGAGGACTTGTTACGTGTTTGAAGGAATCTCACCTTCCTGCGTTTTGAAGTGTGTCTGCTCTTTTGGTCACTGCAAAGAAGTTAAAATTAGAAAAAGCACGCGAGAGTGATATGCATGATTAATCTGATGGAATGAGTTATGTATTGGGAGAAATTTAAATTAAGGTTTTTGTTTTGAGAGGAGGTGTCTGAGGATACAAAAGGAGTGTATATAGTACTACAGGGGAGACTTGGAGAAGGCAAAGAATATTGTTTCTTATTTTACAGAAAGAAAGGGATATAATTTTGGACAACTTCTGTGAAATAAGGAGAAAAATGCTTTTTCTACAGAGACTGCAACTGACCTGTGACACTTCTTGCTGTAGGGTGACGTTGATATATCAAAGCATGCATCTGTTCAGACAGCAGTCTGGGTAAGGATGTGGCAGCCCGTCTGTGGATCTGTCCTCCATAAATCAATGCTTATAGTCTTTGATTCAGAAAGCCTCTCAGGGTAGATTGCCAGGTGGAAAGTATTCTGTTGTTGCTTTTTTCTTTCTTCAAATACATGCTAGTGAGATAGACAAGTCTTTCACCTGGCTTCTGTGGTTGCTCTGATGTTCATCCTAACTGAATCAAAACTACATGCAGTTTGCCTTTGCTCTGTTGCTGTCTAGGCTACTTGGGCAAAACAGAAATAACTCTTTGTCTGGCACTATTTCATCCCAGGCTGCATTTGTGGAAATGGAGTATTGAGGGAATCATCTCACTGGGGTTTGAGCGTCACCTGTGATGGTGGGAGGAGTTAGTCTCAGGCTTGTGAGAATTCATAAAACTCTATGGTGCAGTGTTGTCATCTGGATTTTAGGTCAGAATACAATGTTTTGTTGCTTTGCAGCAGTAACATCCCTCAGCCAGTGAACTGCATGCCAGCTGCCACCCTCCCTTGCCATGCTCCTTATGTAAGGGAGTGGGGAAAACAGAGCAAGATTGCTGCTCTAGTTTGTGGTCACTGATAGCAGTTGCAAGTTGGGCTCCTTGTGGTGTTTGTCTAAAGTCAAGGTTTGCTGCACGAATAACTCTTCCCCCCGCCCGCCCTTAAAACTAGATATTACAAAAAAAAATGTGAGAGCACGGTGTCTCAGTGGGAGCCAGCAACGAGCCCACAAAACCTAAACAACTGTCTCTTCCCAAGCAAAAGTCCCACTTGTTTGAGGACAGATGATACCAATAGAGAAGCTCGGAGAGAGCTAGACAACAACACTGTAAAGGCAGCTGGATTTTGCTGAGTTGTTTTTAATCCACTTGTTAACACATAGCTATCCAGTGCCTGGGAAAGCAGGCAATGCAGATCTTAGAAACACAATTTCTGTTTTCCTGGTTGTGAGTTCTGTGATACGTGCTTTTTAAAAACACTGTTGTAGAAAGTTTTCCTATCTAAACGCTGCAGTATAAACAAAACTGATACTGATACTAAAGTATTATTGTGGGGAAGTCGAAAACTACTGAAGTACGTTAGCTTTGTGTGATTTAGAGTTTTAACAACAGCTCGTAAAACCAGGTTTTTTTCTTTAGCAATGTTTAGTTCTAGTACTTGGTCATTTTAGTATTTACAGATGTCATTCTCTCTAATAATCGCTCAGCTGCTGCTTCTGGAAAGAAAGCTGGGTCTGCTGAAACAGTTTAAGCATCAGATTTCTTTTCTGATCCCTCAGTTTAGGAAGCAGAGTGACAGGCAACTCAGCTGACAGACTGGGCTGCTGCAGTAACCTCCCAGGGAAGTGAGCGAGATGTGGGGAATTGTCGGCAACGTCTTCAGTTGAATACAGATGTGACTGTAAGACACAGGAAAACCACCTTAAAAAGAGGCTAAACATGGTAGCTGGGACAGGGTGATCTTCAGTTTTCAGCATGATGTTTGCAAGACCTTGAGTAGATGCTCCGCAAAACTCCAGAGCTTTTTTTTTGTGGTTTGAAGAAAACTTGCATACCTGCGAAAAAGCAGACAAAATTGAGGTGTACTTGGAGAGGTAGTTAATGAGCATTCGAAGCACAGCGCAGTTCTTTTTAAGTGAAAGCTGTTATGGCAGCACTACGCAAGATTGCTCATGTTTTGGTTTTTTGTTTTTTGGTGGTTTTTTTTGCAAAGGGTAGGTGGCCCTTCAGCTCCTTAAATAAAAATGAGGCTGCATTGGGGCAGACATATGGCAGAGGATTAAAACTGAATGGCTTATTCTATCACTGCTGCCAAGCTCCAGTTGAGTTTGCCCTTATATGCAGAGCTGAAGGTTGTGCTGGTGTTTGAACTGATTCACAAGCAGGTGACAAGCTTCTGCCCTGAGGGTGACCCTGAGGTATAGTTGCTGCATACTGTTTTTAATCCACTGCTGCGTGTCTGTCAAACCAGTTAAAAATGTTCTTATACAGGCAATAAGTGCCAGAAATAATCTTTCTAGTATTTAAAATCCATTTACAGTAAATATAGCCACCTGTTAGAATCAAAGTGAAATAGCCTTGCACTGAAATCAGAGTAGATTTGACTGCTCTGTCTAGCATGGTCAGTGCTAGTGACATGTAATATACTGGCATATCCGGCAAGAAGACTTGTTCTGAAGTTCTTTTAAGTGGTACTGGGTAATAGAACCAGAGACCGTCTTTTTTAAATGACTTTTGCATCTTCATTTTTTTGGCATTGCTTTACTATTTCTAAGGAGCTCTTTGAATCTGAAGGTGAAATTTGGGTTAATAATAAGTATGTAGGGAAGGTGATCTCTGACTACTGCATTCTTGCCAAGTTATTCTGTTCAGAATAACTGATGATTCTGATAGCCCGCAAGAAGCTCGAAAGTAAGTAAAAATGCACTCTTGTATTGCAGTTGCACATTCGGATCCGAGCAAACTAATAAAAATGAGGTCAGAAATGAGTAGTCACTTTTTCCACAGCAAGATTCCAATTCAGAATTAGCACTTGTGTAGTCGAGGTTCGCATAGAGCAGACATGTTTCCCAACAGCATATATAATTCTGTATTCTTTATAGTTTTGCTTTTTGTTAAAGCATTCTGGTTTGAAAAGCTTACTCAGAAACTGATTTCAGAAGTTGTTCTTTATCCAGAGATTGAATCATATTTTTTGGGATACAAATATGCTTGCTGCTCTAAGGATTGCACAACTCTGAATCTTGAGAAGGGAGAATTACTGGAATATATTATGTCAAGTGGTTTGCAGTTTAAAGCAAACAAAAGCTTGGGTTGCTTCTGCAGCACAAATAAAACTGTCTTCTGTGTACAGACGTGACTGTCATTACTGCATAACAATAAGCTTTATTACCACTTTTCTGCCTTACTGAGTGCGTAGTTCTTTGAAGTTTTGTTTTTAAAGATGATGTTACAGACTTTATGCTTGCTACCTAAGCTTTGATCAGCTTAGGGCATTTCTGTGGAGCTATGAATTTATTTGTATCTTAATATTGTGACATAGAACAAGCTTTTTTCTCTTTATGTGCTAGCAACAGAGGCACAGTAGCCAGGACTGCCAGTTGTCCATTAACCTGAATTCAGTGACTTGCTCAGCATTGTGCAGGTGCTTCTTGTGGAAAGAATAGCTCAGTTTCGTTGGCCAGAGAGCTGTGTTTCGGTAGTTCTTGCTCAACTGACTTAAATCAACACCTTTTTCAGACAATAGTGTTAGTAGAGTAGCCTAGCAGACAAGAGGCTTGCTGGTTTCTGGAGAACTTTGTCAGAGCACAGAGTTTTGAAAAATGGGGAAGGAAGCACATAATGAACTTTAATGTTATGCCAGATATATATGGCTTGAGTGGATAACCTCAATTTATTCTCACTTATAGTAGATGGTTTCTCTGCATTCACCTTGCCTAGCCTGCTCCTCTTTAACCTTGACAATGGCTGAACAAAACTCCCAAAAGCTTAATGTTTCATCTTGGAATATTTTGACATTGTAGAATCAATTAGTGGTGTTGGAGCCTTGGTTTTTTATACTTAAACTTAAACCTGTAGTGTTGGAGAAAGGTCCTCTCCTGCACAGAAGAATGATAGGAAAGAAGGAAGGCTAGGGACAATGTGGGGCCACTGCTGAATGAGGCGGGTGTCCTGGTGACGGAGGATGCGGAGAAGGCAGAACTACTGAATGCCTTCTTTGCTTCAGTCTTCAGTGCTAAGACTGGCCCGGAGGTAAGAGAAGAAGCCTACAGTGAGGATGACTTTCCCTTGGTCGAAGAGGACTGTGTGAGGGATCGCTTAAGCGATCTGGACATCCACAAATCCATGGGCCCCGATGCAATGCACCCACGAGTGCTGAGGGAGCTGGTGTATGTCATTGCTGAGCCACTTTCCATCATCTTTGAGAGGTCCTGGAGGACAGGAGAGGTGCCAGAGGACTGGAGAAAGGCCAGTGTCACTCCAATCTTCAAAAAGGGCAAGAAGGAGGACCCAGGGAACTACAGGCCAGTCAGCCTCACCTCCATCCCAGGAAAGGTGATGGAGCAGCTTACCCTGGAGGCCATCATCAAGCAAGTGGAGGAAAAGAAGGTTATCAGGAGTAGTCAACATGGATTCACCAAGGGGAAGTCATGCTTGACCAATCTGATAGCTTTCTACGATGGCCTTACTGGATGGGTAGATGAAGGGAGAGCGGTGGATGTTGTCTACCTCGACTTCAGCAAGGCTTTCGACACAGTCTTCCATAATATCCTCCTAGGGAAGCTCAGGAAGTGTGGGCTGGACGAGTGGTCGGTGAAGTGGATAGAGAACTGGCTGAATGGCAGAACTCAGAGGGTTGTCATCAGCGGCGCT